TCTGTGACCCCAAGGACTGCAGCCCTCTAGGTTCCTCTGTCCACGGGGATTTTCCAGGCAAGGCTACTGGAAGGGGTTGCCATGGCCTCCTCCAGGGGATCTTCCCAACCCAGGGATCAAACCCAGGTCTCCTGCATCGCAGGCAGATTCTTTACCGACTGAACCACTAGGGAACTCACATAAATAAAATGGCTCATAGACCTGAATGTAAAACCATAAAACTATAAAACTTCTAGTAGAAAACACTGCAGAAAATCTTTGGGGAATATAAAATGAGTGTAAAATGGTACAACCACTTTGGGAAAAGGTGCCATAAAACTAAACATAACCTACTTAAGGAGTCAGCAATTCCTCTCCTAAGTAAGGACCCAGAAGAAATAAAAGCATAAAAAAGTGTACCGAAATATTCATAAAAGTTTTTCATATTAGCCATAAACTGGAAACATCCCAGAAGTCCATCTAAGGATAAATGAATAAACCGTGATATATTGACACTAGTAAAATGGATTTCTACTGAACAAAAAAAGGAACAAATTAATAATGCAACAGAGATAAATCTCAGAAACATTGGGCTGAATGAAGAATTCTCACACAAAAGAGTATATAGTCTATGATTTCACTTACGTGAAGCGCTTGAACAAGCAAACTTAACTTATGGTTTATGCAGAAAAGTACTTCTGAGGGTGGGGGCAGAGCTGACTGGAAAGGGGCAGAGGGAACTTTCTAGGGTAATGGTAATTTTTCAAACTCTGTTGGAAATTTGGGTTACACTCATGTATATTATATGAAAAGTGCATGAAATGCTACATTTATGATTTGGGGATTTCACTAAGTGTTAATTTCATCTAAAAATTCCATTAGCTACTGAACCCAACAAGAGGCCCCACTGCCAGTTCACGACAGGACTCCAGAAACAAGGAAGAAGAGGAGTTGGATCATCCGCTCTCCTCACCATCTCTCCCCACCCACCCCACCCCGCCATCCCCCAAATCAGATAAAGTAAGTCAGAACATTTCTGATGTTTGCCCAACTCTTGTACCATCAGGGCCCACATGTCCTTGAACTATTCCCCCAAATAAGAGCCCAGAACAGAGTTTGAAATTTATACCTAGCATAAATTACTGGCTGGACTCTACTCAGAAGGAGCACTTGTCATTTTCCCTTGATAACTCTGTGCTCAGAGATGTGTCAAGAAGCAGGTAAGAGAGACAGGAGGAGAGGTGGGAAAATCCTCCCATCACCTCCCCTTCACCAACCTGACAGCCCAATCTTTAGTACCCTTCAAAGCACACACCAGGGTACTCTTGTCCAGCTGAATCAGAGACTTGCAAGAATCAGGTCTTGCAGTGCCCACGTCTGTCACTGTGGGATGCAGAAGACTGTGTGTGAACCAGCCAGCTTCCAGAACACAGGCTCCCACTCAGCTCTCCCCTCTTGAACTAAATATGAAGTACACAGGCTGACTTCATTCTCTCCTTGAACAACAACAACCAAAAAAACTAGAACAGTACCTAGCATATGAATACACTAATGAAGCAAGTATTTTGAAAAAGTCACAGCTTAAAGGATCTCACTTTCTGGGATTGAATCCTGGCCACACAGTGAAAGCCCAGAATCCTAACCACTGTGGATCACCAAGGAACTCCGCACAGGCATTCTTATTATCATTCTCATTCAATGAAAAAGATGAAAGGCCACACTGGGTGTGAAAGACTTGGGATACTTCAACTATAAATTTCGGAAAACAAACAGGTTTGGCCAAGTGTCCTCCCCTCCCTTACCCCAGGAGGCCATCATTAACCTTTCAAGTCCCCAGTGGGTGTGGTCCTCGAGGAAGAACTGATTCATCCAAACAAACACAGGTGTCCCCCAGCCTCCACCACCTGCAGTTTTGGGAAGCTTCCAGAGCTCAACCCATCAGTTGTTAAGGTCATTTGCTAATTTTTTTAAAAAAGAACAGAAACAGAAAACACTTGAGGACTGGAGCACAAAAGAAGAGTTAGCGCCTGGTTACCCTGCTAAAGACCCTTCGGCCTCTTAGGGAAATACAGTCAGCCTCAAAACTTTTTCTCACCAGAGTAAAGCTGGGGTAGAGAAAGTGAATAGGGAAAGAAGATGCACAAAACAAGGGAGAAACAAACTCCTACAGGCCTTAAATTCAAATCTGTCCCTGGGGTTCAGGTCACTCCTGTCTGCTTGGCCACAGCAATCCTTCCCCAGATCTTACAAGGCCACCATGACCCCAGGTTTGGAAGCCTAGGAGAAGGACCCATGGAGCGCAGTGGGTTTATAAACCTGAGGGCCATTCCTCCTTTCCTCCCTGCATTTTGTCTGAGCTGGTCAGCAACACTTCTTAAGCCCAAATGCTATTATATAGGAGTTGTTGTTTAGTTGCTAACTCATGTCCAACTCTTTGTGACTTCATGGACAGCAGCCCGCCAGCCTCCTGTGTCCATGGGACTCCTTCTCCCATGGACCCAGGGATTAAACCCACGTCGCCTGCATTGGCAGGCAGATTCTTTACCGCTAAGCCACCAGGGAACCCCTTGTATACGAGTACATGAGCCTCAAAAAACAAAACAACAGGGACTTCCCTGGTGGTCCAGTGGTTAAGAATCTGCCTTCTGGATGCAGGGGGCTTGGGTTTGATCCCTGGTCAGGGAACTAAGATCCCACATGCCTCACAGTGCAGCAATAAATAAAAATAATAAATCTTTAAAAAAAAAAAAAAACAACAATGAAAAATCTATACCAAAGAGACCAAACTGATCTGATCAAATTGATTCTTGGTGTCTTTTTCTAACATTTTGCTCTTTCCCACAAGGTACTGAGAGTGGAGTGAAAACCTGCATTAGTTCTCAGCTGCTCTTCCTTGCCTTCCTGGAAGCTCATTTTAGCTTCTGGAAGCCAGACCTGCCAGACTTCTGAAAGCAAGTGGACTGAAATTTCCAGTGTCTTTGAGAGAAATCCACTCCTCCTCCTCTCACCACCTTCTGGGACTCTTGAGGTGGCCCAAGAGCTGCCCTGACGCCTCCTCTCCTGCAATCTGACCCAAGCACCTCCAAATTAGACTAGTAATTAGCGAATACATTTAAAACAAACCTCTCTCCCCATGTGTATCCACTGACCAGCATCAAATAAGATCTTCCCTGTTTTGTTCCTCAAAATATCCCAGTAGGTGGTTTTGTACAAATTATGTTCAAATTCTTATCAATATTCTGTTAAATAACCTCAAAACTATTCCTTCCAAGAGCCCCCCATCAGGGGAGATGACCCAGAGTAAAGACCTCTGTGCTGCACACTCCATAGAATACAGTGTCCACATATCCTGAACTGTGCAATGAGGCAGCACTACCTAGTGGGTGGAGAATTAAGAGTACCTGGTGATATGTTCACTTTGTCCGATGCATCTTTCAGATGGCAGCAAACAGGGTCAATCCAGGAACCGGCATTCACCACTGCTGGCTACACCTCAGGTAGCAGCATCACAGCTGCCTCTGGCTTAGCACAAGCCCTCTCTATTTCACCCTCAGGTCCAGACCCCAACTCCATCCATTCCCTCTCTGCAATATGCTGTGTGCTCACCCTTTGAAAGGGGGATGGGGGAACCAGTGAATGCAGCCGTTAATTCAAACCAGAAAAACCGAGGACACTGGACTGAAAAGAGCTTTTCATCCAGCCTGTCTGAAAGACCCCTTCCCCTTTGAGAATTTTGGCTTGGCTACTGGGTTCACCGCTATCAAAGCCAGAAACCTATTTTCTTCACTCATTCCTGCAAGTAAAAGGAGATGAAATGTGTGTATGTTAAAAAAAAAAAAAAAACAAAAGAAATGTGTGTATGTGGCTTTGCAAATGAGCTCTTTAGGGAAGAAAAGTGGGGATGGGTAGAGGTACCACACAGAACTGGATGCATGGAGGTGAGAAGCCAAAGTTCAACCTCACTGGCCTAGGATGTAGAGACATCACCTCTGAGCAGATGATACACAACATCAAGTACCTCATGCTATCCTGCTCCCTTACACCTGGGGACTAAAACAAATTTATTTTATTTGCTGCTCCTTGTTCTCCTCCTCAGAGGATGACTTATGGGCTGAGACAGAGAGGGGTTCTTTGGTAGGAGTCAAAATTGAGGGCAGGAACAACTGGTGACTTGTCAATAGCACACCATCAAACGGTACTCACAGCCCCATATAAATGCAGACAGAACCAGGCTGTTTACAGGGAGCTGACACCCACATGAGTTTAGTGGGTAACAGAGACCACTCAGTGATGCGGTGGCTTATGTTCTTAATGAGAAGCTATTTTACACAAGCAAAAAGCTGCTGTCTCCTAACAAATGGACTCTGAAAAGACTGGAAAGGGGGAATTCTCCCTATCTAGCTAATGGGATGGGATGTATCCAGAACGCCATTTGTCATTTCTTTTTCCCTAGTAGTTAACGACCCCAAACCCTCCACTAGGCTCTGTTCCAAGACCACCACACCACCCAGTAGAGCAGGGCATGAAAACCACAGCCTGTTGTCCGCTCCAAGCGTGTAATTTAAAAAAAATCAAACAAAACATCAGCCAGTTCACAATTAGTAGATTCTGGCCCGCTCCTGGTGTACATTTCCTAAGCACCCCCACCCATGAAGCCGGGGCTGAGGCCCCGGTCTCCTGACCGCACAGCTCCGGCTCCCCGGGCCCTAAACCTCTCTCCCTAAAACATCACTTTTCCAGCCTGAAAGTTCCTTCGCTCAGGAACCTGTGCACTTCACTGCCTCAAAGAGTTGAGGAATGGAGACACCCTAAAGTCGGCTCAGGGCAGCGTCCAGTCATGTCTTGTTGAAGGTGGAAACTCTTGTGTCCCAGCAAGAAGGAACGTCTCAGGACAGTCCTTCCCCAGCCACTCTGTCTGCGCTCCCAAACCCGCACCCTCCACCGCCAGTTCCCGCCCCAAAGGCCCGGGCTCGGTCCCGCAGTTTGCGCCGGACGCTCTCCCCTCCGGGCCGCGCACTCACCCACCGCCAGGATGCGAAAGCCCCGCGGCGGGCGCAGGGCCCGGCGACACCAGGCGTCGCGCAGCACCTGCAGGCTGGCGGGAGGCGCGTGCACCAGCAGCACCCCGCGCCGCAGCCAGCCCTGGAAGGCCAGCCGCGAGGCGGCGCGCGCCAGCCGCGAGTTCCAGAAGCAGCGCGCGTTGGCTCTTCGGAAGGCGCGGAACACAGCGCGCCCGCCAGGCTCCTCCGCACCCTCCGCCTCCTCCTGCGCCTCCAGCCTGCACAGCACCAGCGCCAAGGAACCTGGCGCCAGTTGCACGGGCCGGGCCATGCTGCCTCGGCGGCCAGGGCCCGCAGCTTCGGTGCGCTGGTGCCCGCGGTCTGCGGGAGGGATCAGCTTACTGTGCGCGGCGCCGGCTGCCGGGGGAACCGGGCTCCAGGGGGCGGGGTCGATTTGAGCGCCGGGCAGGGGGTGGGGCGGGACGTGCGGCCTGGGGACGGCCACTGCTCTCGCCCGAGAGGCGGCCAGTAGGGGTTTCCAAGTGCTGAATTCCCAGGTCATTCTCCACACCCCAACCCAATCCCCCAACTCCGACCCCAGGGGACTCCCCCACTTCCCTGCTTTCCGGCAACCCGGAGCTCCTCTTCCCCCACCGGCGGTCACTGGGACTTTACCCGACCGGTGGGCGGGGGGAGCCCGCAGCTCCGAGGAACCAAGCTGCCTCCAACTGCGGCGCGAGCGGCAGGCCAGTGTTCCGCAGAGCCCGGAGGACTAGGATGGCCGCCTTGGCCCGGGCTTTGGGATCGCCCCCAAGAAGGCGCCACGAGGGGTGGACTCCCTCGGGTCAGGAGTTAGGTCTCCATCGGCTTCTAATCAGTTTGCGTAAGTTACTTTGCCTCTGCCACCTCCGTTTACTCTGTAGTAAAATAAGGAGTTGGGACTCAAGTCTACGAACCTTTTTCGTGACTTTCTGAGGTTTTAGTGTCTGGTCCCGCTCCTGGGTTATCCCATTCACTTGAAGTGTTAGGGACATAAAATTATCCAAAGGCTCCATCTCGATCGGCTGGCGAGGCGTTGTGGTGAAATCTGTGGGATTCAGGCCTCGGTTGGGATGGGAATTCAGACAAGAATCCCCAGGAGTGTTCGGAAAGAAACTTGTGATTGATCTGTCACAGCAGACTCTAGCCAGTGCCTCGCATCATGGGGGACAGTTCAGATGCTGAGAGGAAAAAAGGCTGGAATCCTGACTGTTGCAGTGGGTGAGAGCTCCTGAGGGTAAGAACAGAAAGGAATGGAAGGGCAGTTTATAATCAGCACTTTAAGAGGGAGCAGAGGGGCTTGAGGAGACTTGGAAGTCAGTCCAGATTCCCACTCCCTCAGCTTATCAGTTATCAGTAACAACTACAATAATTTGAGATAATCTTCACCTTGCTCCTAGTGAGTCATTATCACAGTAAATGATAGGGGATGTTGTTAATAGCTAGAGCTAACATATATTGAACACTGTATGCTGGAGGCCTTAATTTCACAACTCCATGTTAACTTCTCTTAGTATCTCTCCCTCTCTCTGTTTTTAACAGATAAGGTAACTGAAGCTAGGTTGGATTCAGAAGCACTTCCTGGTCATACAGGTAGTAAGAAATGGAGTCAGACAACTTCCAAGTCAGGGCTCCCTATGACAAATTAAGTCTGATGCAATTTTCAGTTTAAATAAGCAGGCAAACCTGAGACAACCATCTCATATTTCATTTCTGAGATGGATAGATAGATAAATACAGCAGAGAGCCCAAATGAACTAAATGTCTGTCTGTATAGCCAAGCTCCTCCTCTCTGTCATGAGAGATGACATTACTGTGTTCCCCAACCTGGGGAACTATGACTTTAATCTTTATATCTAGCATCTATGACAGTGTCTGTGATATCTCTCTATTTCTAGTATCTATGACATGATAATGATAATTTCCGTTTACACTCAGCTCACTCTACCTAGAACTGTATTGAGAATGTGACATGAGTAAGTTTATTCTCAGAATTAACCATCTGAAAGGGGGTAATATTATTGAGCCCCCATCTTCCCTCCAGAACAAATAACTGCCAACAGTGTATTTCACTTTCCCCCTCTCCTGTTTCCAGATGATCTCTCTCTTGCCCACCTTATCAGGCCTGAAATTCCTGCTGGTACAATCCCACCTTAGAAAGACTATGTCTCCAGAGTCTCAAAGCACATTCATTGTGTCTCCCATTTTTACTTTTCGTGAAGATTTAGGTCATCCGATTTGCTAATGTCTGGAAAAATACAGTGGCATTTCATGGGACAGGACCTTAGGATCAGTAAAGAGTTTTTGGGCTTCAAGACCATTAGAAAGATTGAGGTGGCTTATCCTAGAGAGAAGGGAATAGGAAGCTAGTGACTTTGACTGAACTGAGGCACTCTATATGTAGGATGCTTGTGGATACTTGTAGAGACTACACTCTAAGGCATCAGCCTTGAGAACCACAGTGACAAGCTCTCTGAGGCAATGCAGTCAAGACCATTGCCGGGGCCTCTCTGAACAAACTTGGTGGTGAATGCAAGTGACAGTGACATCAGTACTGTGTGTCAGCAAGTGCTGAGGTAACTGAATGAGCACCCCATGAAAAATATCAAGCCCTGTTTTCCTCATTTTCTGGGTATCACCTAAACCCCCAGGTTTTTTTGTGTGTGACAGTTCCAAGGAGGAGACTTCCCGAAACATGATCAAGACATGGCCAACTCTGGTAAATGGAACTTGTGAGCTTATTTGGTTTAGAAAACTGAAGGGTAACAGATTCATTCTTGCTACACTATAATTGCTGGAAAAGATGAACTGGGTCATTTGATGCTCTCACCTGCCTGGTGTCTGTCCTATCTTAGGACAGATGATCCAGTTCAATAATCCTGATTCAGTGCACTTCACACCCTGATTCCAGCCTGTCTTATCCAGCCTGTCCTCCGTTTCCATCCTTGCCTTCCTCCTCCAATCCACACCAGGGATCTTATGCTGCAGCTACTCAAAATAACACACCTTCCCAAATAAGCTTCCACATCTTTGCTACCCTATTTCCTCTGCCTAGAAGGCCTCTCCCCTTTCCATCAGGTGGTATACTACAAAGGCCAGCTCATAAAACCTGTGACACATCCAGGAAAATTAAATCTGTACTTAGAGCTTTGTTAACCCTCTTATAATACCTGTGTGTTAAAAATTATAATATTTACTTACCTGTCTCGTTAGGCAACTTGAGATTCTTGGAGGGCCAGGCTTCTGCCTGATTCATCTCTGTGACCTATCATATAGCCCAGTATCTGGGTCATAGATTTGTTCCATCTGAATCAAATCTAATTTAACTAGTGCTTGATCCAGGATAACCCTGTTTTTCTTGCTTTCTTGCTAGCCTGGTGTCACCACCATACACAGAAGCATTCTGTTTCGAGGGTGAATCACAGGAAGACCTTGTTGTCCAACAATCAATGCCGAGGTCAAAGCCTCAAGGAACATGCACCCAGGTCCCACACATCCAGGCATCTGCAGTTCAGTTGTTTCTCTGGAGTCATTTTATGACACACGTTATACTCAGTATTAACTACCTCAAAATTTCTTGCACACTAAAATTCATCAGGTTGAAGTTCCTTCCCCTTAACTCAGAAATTCAAGCCTTGACACTTTAGGCTGATTTAAAGAGCATTTGATATCTAGGTTCAATTTATTATGACCATTTCTGCTTCTACAGCACATTTCTTTCCTTTATCGGAGGAAAAAAATAAAAGCCATAGAGACTTTTGTTTCTATTTCCCAAAGGGAAATGTGAGGCTTTCCCAAGCAACTGTGATGACTCAAGGACAGAAGAAAGGAAGTGGGAGCAGGGGAAGGACATTTAATGCCATTTCTTTTTAAAGAAAAAACATTACCTTTATTCTAGCTGTTTTATTTAGGCAAGACTCTGGGCCACAGTAGCTTTGTCTGTAAACTGAGTAAGAACACTTGACTGACCTGAGAGACTTCTTGGAGTCCCTTGCAGCTTCACAATTCTACAGCTCCACCTTCATTCCAACAGTAGAAACCCTAATGCAGTTTCGGTAATCATTGAGCCTAATGAGGTTCCAAGAGATGAAGAAGAGCCTGAGGGTCAGATATCCCCAAGTTGATTCAGATTTGCCTTTAAGCATTTATTTTTAAAATTGTTTGTATTTATGTGTTTTTGGCTGCTTTGGGTCTTTGTTCCTGCGCAGGCTTTTCTGTGGTCGTGGAGAGCAGGATCTATTCTCTGGTTGTGGTGGCTTCTATGTGGAGCATGGGCTCTAGGGCTCAGCAGCTGTGGCTCCCAGACTCTAGAGCAGAGGATAAAGTGTTGTGGTGCTCAGGTGTGGGTATTCCTGGATCAGGGATCAAACCCATGTCTCTTGCATTGGCAGGTGGATTCTTTACCACTTAGCCACCAGGGAAGCCTGCCTTTAAACATTTCACTTCTTTATCTTCTCGATGGCAAGAGGTCAAAAAAAGAAATAAACATTGGAGAAAAAAGATCCTTAGCTTGGAACACTAAGAGGCTAAGAATACCAGAAACTCCATAATTCTGATGTAAGAAATGATTAAAAAAAAAAAAACAGCAACAACTATTAAAAACTATTTAACCTTGTTAAAATGGTAAGGAAAAATTTGCTCAAGTCTATCACCAAGTCTAGATAGCAAAGATAGCTATGGAGCAAAGAAGCTTGGGATTTTTGACGAGGAGCAGAGTAAGGAAGTCAGTGGATAGAAAAGCACTGATAGGAGACATCAAGGATGGGGAACCCTTGCTAAACCTCGAGGATTTATACAATGGGGTGGGGGATGCAGAACTTGATCAGTTAAAAGATTTGTACTAACCTGATTTAGCAATATTCTTGGGCAGGGCAGGCGGAAGATTAAGATGAGGCCCAATTTGGGGCCTAGTCAAAAAGAGGACTCAGAAAAGAAACAACAAAAACCTACTCTATAGCACAGAGAACTTATTCAGTATCTTGTAGTACCTATAATGGGAAAGGATCTGGAGAAAAATATATTTATGGATGTACCACTGAATCACTCTGCTATATACCTGAAACTAACCCAACATTATCAGTCAACTGTACTTCAATAAAATTAAGAAAAATACTATAGATAAATAAAATTTAACAACAGGGCTCTTAAAGAACTGACTGTGTACTTTGGTCAAGGAACATCTTTGTCAGAAGCCAGTACAAAACTTTCCATCACTCTGCCCCTCCCTACTTCATTAAAGGAATTAATATCCATAAAGCATTTAAAACACCCCATAATCCTACTTTTGTTTAGGAAGGGGACAACTGAAATAATTATCATTATGTTAACAAAAATTATTTGTAGACAGATTACA